TCACGACAAAAAAACAGGAAAAAAGTTACCTTCATGCGATTTTGCGGAGAATAAGAAGTCTTCAGTGGGTTCAACCGGTGCCGTTACGTTAGGCCAGCTGCGGGGTTTTAGCACGCATATATCGGAGCTTGCCGGGACCTCCGCGGGTACAGTCTTTATCAACTCGGAGTAGGTAAAACATTCCAAGTGGAGCAGCGCGTCCACACCGCCGCTGGCTCAGCGAGACAGATTAGAATGAAGAGACGCAGACTGCAAAGCGGCGCGAATCTTTGCGAAGCGGACTCGCGCCAGTCCAATTTCCGTCTAAACTGAGTTGAAACTTACTATACTTGTGCATTTAACGGCGCATTCGCAGGTGCTTTCAAGCGCTTATCTACCCATTCATTGCTGGCGCATAGTGACCCGGAACTCGTCCGCGAGTAATTGTAATGACTGTTGCGATCATTTATGTGCGGCTTCCAAGGTTTGTATTGCCAAAATTTTTACTAGTCTTGCGTTTCGGCTTTCCGCCTTCCTCACAGCCTGGAAAGAAGCAAACACAAAACTACTGTGGTTGATAAGACATTGGCAAAATTCTTTTTATGCTCCTCACTTCTTAGGCTCTGATGAAGGCAAAAAGTTCAATCGTAAGACCGATAAAGGTTTTTAACATTCTTGTGACTGCACTTTTAGAATGGTGGGTATTTGATTGTGCGGATCCTCAAAAAGGATTTTGCACCTTCCCCTGTTCCATATTTGGTCCCAACTTCACAGAAATAAGTGCCAGCCTCCTACCATGTGTCAGAGATAATTGACTATTCAGCAGGTTCCATCAAGAGTTTGTTGCCTACCCAAAATTATCCAGTCTGTTTTCTAATCAGTCATGACACAGCTTTCTACACAACAATTCAAGAATGGGGGACTAGTGGCGTATGTGGGACGAGTAGTAGTATGGCGCTGTTATGACCATATCGGACCCAGGTTCAGTCCCTTCCCTGGTCCAACCAAGCCCTCTACCCTCCGGGCTGATAAATTGGTACCAGAGTAATCTGGGAGGATAAGAGCGCTGGCCTGGTAACCGGCTGGTCCCAGCAAGTCATTGTAAAGGCTCGTACGCATATAATTGCCTCTTCGATTATGAAGTAGTGTGCGTGCGGCGCATGCCCGCAGAGGGTATTGAAGGCGCCGAATCCTTCATCCATTACCCTAATCCAATAATGAACATCAAAGCCCGTATGCACGTACATTCCGTGCCTTGTATCTCAGTGTTTTAAAAATCTGTACTCGTTTTTCGCCCATCTTTCAGAGGCATTGATAGCCCTTTACCTTAGCATAATGAAGATAAGTAGTGACAGCGCACTACCATACAAGCTGAGTTTTTCCTCGTTTATGACCCCCTATCCTCCTAAGATCGCCGCTCATCATCAAAGAAATTCATTTCACAACCTTAAGGAAAAAACTGATTTTTGCTGCTCATCTAAATGACAGTGTTACGTCTGATTTCAATAGGATAAATGGAATACGAATTTACGAGTTCTTTTTTTTAAAGCTCCGACTCGCGAGTAGTTCAACAAAGATCCCGTCATATTGAAATTTCGCTTATCTACAACAAATATGCGTAGCACTGTGGTAGATTATCTGTATACTTCATGGTGTTTTCATCAAGTTCCTTGAAAAGGAGACGCTTTGGGGATCCCGGAGACCATACAAAACAAGGCAACTCAACCTATATGGCAATGCGCTGTCATTTATCATGCAAAGGTACCGGTGTAGTAGAGCCCTCGAAAGTTGGGTGGAAATTGCGGGATATAGTTTTCTACAACATCGAGAAATAAGGCGCGGCGATGTATGTGTGCATACGAGCTTCAAGTGACCATAAAATGTATCTTGTAATCCGTATCACTCTTTTGGGTTCTGCTAAAGTTTCTGCATACCTGACTGTTCACCGACATAAGTCACTTCTTCTTATATTTGTAGTAGGACGCGGGATACCAGATAGATTAAAGCAAGCTCTACAAGATAGCTTTCAAAAATTCGCATCAAGTTCAAACCGCATAAAGTCCTCGCTAAAAAATGTCAAATTCACCAAAAAATTAAAATAATCGTATATCATAGAGGAAGGATCCTTAGTTGAAGTGGCCTTTCTAGTTGAGATGCATAGCCTTGAAGGACACTAAACGCTGATTTCAAATCTGTCTTCCTTATCTGCGGAGCGCCTCTGGGTGAGGAGTTTTAAGCGATTTATGAGGGGGAAAAACTGATTGACTGATTAGAATAAAATCAATGGTTGACATTATCTTCAAAACGCAGATGGACTAATGACGAGTACGGGGGGGGGGGGGGGGGGGAGGTAGCAGGCAGGACTCTTTTCGCAGAAAGGTTTAACATCACCAGTGCTCCATTCGAGCTTACGAAAAACTTTTATAGGTAATTTTTCTCTAAGTTTGCGTCACAAATTCCGCTACAACAGCTCTCGTAACTCCTTGTCCAAGACGCTCCGCAGATAGAGAAAAACGACTTGGAATCAGCGTTCGATGTCTTCAAAAAGACATGCTTCTCTTCGGGGAAGGCACTTCGACCAAGGATCCTTCCTCAGATAGTCGAAGGGATACCTCCGGAGGGCAAAGCCAGGAGTCTGCCACTTCATTGCTTCGGAGCCCTCCCATTTCACGCGTTTTGGTGCTCCGGCTCCTCCAAATCTGGCGCACCCCCGGAGCAGTTTGCAAGCATCGGGGAGGGGTCCCATTTTTCCCATTTCGCCTTCTTGACCTAGGGCACGCTTCTTGGTAAGGCAAACTCTAAACTACTTTTGCTAGTTGCCGAACGGTTTTTGAGGGGAGTTATGAGGCCTTTTCCTCCGGCGCAGCCGGCGCACTTACTAATGAGCGAGGCCACGCAGGGATTGTGGCGGCGGCGCAGTAGCAAGATAGCGGACCGTGAAGCAGAAGGTCGAAGGTTCGACTGTCGCTGGGTTTTGTTTTGCATTTTGTAAAAAGTTTATTGGGTGACAGTAAACGAGAAATAATCATTGCTACGCAGTTGAAACAAGCTATCTTTTGCAAGAAGCCACTATTTCTACGATCAGCCAAAATCTTTTACAATAAGTAAATCTGTGGAGATTATGATGTTACAGTAATGGATTTCAATGATATATTAACACGTATGGAATAGTACCACAAAATGTTCAAAACAAAAGAGCTTCTCACAGCACGTGTACCTACAAAAATACAACCGATCGCAGCATTACCTGTCAGGGCAGGACCACGCGGTACAGGCAAGTGACAAATATGCGCATACAGCAAAAAGCTTTGCTACCAATCATTACGATGTTCTCGCCACAGCTGCGTGTTAATATATCATTGATATTCATTATTGCAACATCATAATCCCCACAGATTTACTTATTGTAGAGGTTTTTGACTAATTGTAGATAGCGGCTTTTTGCAATAGATAGCTTGTTTCAACTGCATAGCAATGAGGTATTTCTCGTTTACTGTCACCTAATAGGCTTTTTACAAAACTGCGAACCAAGCGACCATCAACAAGATTGGAACCTTCGACCATCTGCTTCACAGTCCGCTGCCTTGCCACTGCGCCACTGTCACAGTCGCTGCCTGGTTTTAGCGCCTCGCCCATTAGTAGGCGCGCCGGCCACGCCGGAGAAAAATGGCCTCATAACTCCCCCCACAAAACCGTTCGGCAACTATCAAAAGTAATTTTGAGATTGCCTTACCAAGAAGGGTTTCCTAGTATAGAGCTCATTCCAAAAGGCCACTTTCGACGATCATCCTTCCCTTGTCAGACATCATGGCCAGCACTCACCAGCCACTTGCGGGCGACACAACGCCCATGCTTGGAGTGCGCCGGGAAGAACCGATAAACAATCAACAATCTTGCGGTTGTCCCGCAAACACCTTGACAATACCAGCGGCCGTCTCGGCAAACACCCAGTTGCCCGATACACGCCCGATAAGAACGCCTCCTTTCATTCTTCTCAACCTCACATGAAGGTTACAAACTATCCATATAATCTCTTGCTGTTTTTATCGGAACATTTAATACACCTGTGAAAACTTCTGAGGGCCTAATGAGTTTCCAGGATCAAGTAGCCATACAATACTCATTCGAGAAACTATAGAAAGGATAGCTCCTAGAGTTTGCGAGTCTGTCACTTGAGTTAATCATAGCGGTCTTGTTGAACGAATCCTTAATTTGCAATCAATTTTTATACTCGGCCGTGGTAAATGCAATCTTTGTCAGCCCAGAAAGAAGTGAGAAGGGCTTATTTCTGTGGCCATAGCTTTGCAACAACAGACCCCAAAGCGGCTCTACTCTCATATGGGATAGACAGTATACTTTGGAGGAATCAAATATTTTTTCGAATATTCGGTATCAATAATATTCGAAAATTGAAATTTTCGAATATTCGAACTTTCGAATCATTCGCATTCGAATGATTTAGTCGAATGATCGAATAATCATTCGATTTGGTCCAAGTCATCATAGACAGTGTGTAATGAATCGCCACAGATTTCATAGCGGCGCGAATCGTTGCGAAGTGGACTCCCGGCAGTCCAATTTCCGCCTAAAGTGAGCTGAAACTTACTAATCAAAGTGGCAAAGCCGTATTTGTTTCAAAGGAGTCCAATTGCCACCCTTGTGTTGGTGTGGTTCTATCGATCGCCAAATTAGTCAAGCCCTCCTTTTCCGTGTCTGAACTTGTTGAATAGGCACCGATTTGACTAGTGGATGGTTTTCGTGGATTTGCACATGCTGAAATCATTCAGAAGACACGATGGTGAACAGCGCGCACACGAATGATGCGGATTTTCTGCTCCAAGAAAAGTAAAAGTCTTAGATTAACAGAAGTGGAAGTTTTATTTAGTTTTTTTTAGTTTAGTTTTAGAACACTCAAAATAGGCAAAGCAGTTGTGTCTAGCATCAGCGGCCATATCTTATCACATACTTTATATCCGATGGTGTTTTAAGACTTAATTTCTCGTTTATTTACAATTTTATAGGTTCTTTGTGGAGATGACGACAAAGCGGGAGTTTTAACAAATGAAGCACTTGAAGGATTGCCCTGTCTGAGTGCACAAGAAACTATCCAAAAGGTAAAATTCTCGATTGAATATAAATTTATATGTTCTTATCGTTAAGGTGATTGCAATACATAAGGGACACTGGCCAGCGCTAACGGCTGAACAAGGGTTATCAATAAGTGAACTGCATTGGCAAACAGTTGGGAGACAGTTTCAGAAATTGACGATGAGCTCCGTTCAATAACTTGAATATTGTTGCACCAAAGCACAATCGCGTTATTTGTGATTTAAACATTAGATGAATCATAGTATGTATTCTAGCAAGAGTGTGTTTGTCATTTAGACTCAACTATCTTTGACTTAATGCAGATCTCGCTACCTCTGTGAACTAGTGACACTGAAATGGATCGTACGCATCAGTTTGGGCTATCGTCCTCCCCTCGACTGCATCGAAACGCAGCTTCAGATCTTCTCATGCTTGTAGTTTCAGTCGCGCCAAAGAATCAGTGGCGTGTTGGCTGCGTACACGCACCAGGACGCATGCGAATGAGTCCTTCGGTCTTTCTCTTTTCTATTTTCTTTCCAGGCTAGAGCCAAAATATGAATTTTGCTTTTATTTATTTAATGTTGCTTTTCGATACTGTCGCCATAAAAAATGCAAATATGTCTTCAGCAATCTCAAAGCATAGAATTTTACTGAACAGTTTTCTTTTGGTTTGTGGTCTTGACTTGGAAGTAGAGATATTGGGAAGAGAATGAAGTGTTACTTGTCCTGGCGCGGTAAAGAGAGGTAAACGAGAAGACATGAGGCTATTGGACTGTTGCAATCAAGGGAGGGACGATTATCAATTGTCTTTCAACAAATTGTATATGTCATAGATATTTGCTACAGAACGAAATAAACGCTGGAGCACAGGCAGGCTGCATAGTGTGAACAAAAGTTGAATGCTGATTGAAAGCAGATTGAATCTTAGCCTGCTTCACTGAAGTGCACGATCCATAAGATTTGCTGTCTATGGTTTTTCTAGGCTAGACTTCATTCATGCCTTGTTTGATGATTGGATACTGTTTTTTCGGGAGCCCTCTAGTCTTGAGCTTGTAAATCCCCACAAAGTTTAGGTTCTTATTAACTTAGGTATAATCGTCTATATGAGAACTTTCAGAGCGACTTTGCTGCTTAATTAAATAGAAAAATTGGAGCTGCTGAGAGTCATACGATGTTTAAGTGTTACTCGGCAAACGGTTCGTAGGCAGCACATTAGCTCGCATACTTACTTTATGATAAATCAGACACTGAACATACCACGCTCCAAAATCAGCAGAAGCGTGTTTTTTTAACATCTCTGAAACGTGTCCATAGTTTTCCGTTTTTCTCATACGATTGCAGAGAAGTGTTTTTCCTGCTTGGAGCAATTTGTTTTGTTCTGTTTTTCGTTCCACACAATGCGTCTGATAATATGGAATGTGATTGAGATGTGATCAGCGCACACGTCTTTGGTCTATCATCATTTGTATCATTGTTTTTCCGTTGCGATCTGTACATAGGTTCCTGTAGCATGCTGCAATTGTTACTCCATATATCATAAAGTATTTGATATGCTCTTTTGTGTTTTGCACAAAATTGACAAGACTGTTCTCAAAGGAAGTCTTCGTTGCACATTTCCAATGTGGTAGGACCTAAAAATGCTTGCCAAATTGCACAAGCTCGTGGCCAGGCTCAAGGTGGGTTGTGCTTACAGCGGATTTAGTGAGGATCCATTAGAAGAGCAAGAGGGTCATATTTCGGATGGCGTTCTGGAAGGGATATACTATACCTTTAGATTTGGTTACAAACTTCTTGCTTGAAATAGATTCTTGCTTGAAGCCGTCCTGTCTTCTTCATTGGAAAACCTTGCAAAGCATGGAACTTGGCGAGAAAAACATACTAGTTCCAGTCAAAAGCACTTATCCTTTCTATCTATTTATATCGTTTCTGACAATATGATTTTTTCGTCTTTTGAAACTCATTTGATTTCAACACAACCACTTGAAAAATCCTGACAAAGTTCAGTCTCTCGTGGTACTTGTCTTGCTTCCATTCGGCCTTTATACAAGTTTGTCTAACAATAAGGCATACCTGGCTCTGCCCGATTTCTTCAATACTGTGATAAAGGATCCACGTTCTACTTCGTTTTTGTCCATGTTCCACTTCAATAAGTGAGTTTCTTGTTCTTGCTGTTCTCGTAATCAACAGGCTTGCCTTTCTCTTGTACCAAATCCCCCACATGTCAAAGTATGGGTATCTTCCCAAATATGCTACTGTATCAGCATGCTTACGGCCTCCCCCCCCCCCCGCAACTCAGCGTCTCAGCTGAAAGTTTGCAAAAAATCGATAAAAGGAAGCATTACGGTAGTGCTTGAATTCCATGCTTAGAGTTAGCGACTTTGATCAACTAGTGTAAGCCTTATCAGATTGTCTGGTTTGAATTCTGAGGCAACATATGGCTTTACTGGCCCGAGGGAATCTAAGCTTTTCGTAATTCTTCTGAATTGACGGGAAAGCGGTGATCTGTTCCACACACAAACCTAACACTTTAAGCCAGATCCCAGAAATGGCACTCTAAAATCGGCAAAAGACAAGAGAGTTATTTACTAAACAATGTGTATATACATACTTCGAGGACACTGTATATGAGATGCAATCGGTTGCGCTACGCCACTTTAGCAAACGAAGGAAAGGCTACTGCCGGACGAGGGCGCAAAGGTAGTATTAGTTGAGCAGGTGCGAATGCATCGCGGGTGTATTTTCACCGTAGTGAACCGCGCGCCCCATGTGCTCTGCTGCTAATAAAACCGCTTCTCCTTAGGTTCTACGCCTTCGCCTTGCAGCAGCTTATAGAAAAGCAAACCTGTTTGGATCACATAGAAATTGCTCGTGGTAATGTCATCAAAGAGAAACATTCGGGCTCCTCAAGATTATCAGCAGAAGCAAAGCAAAACGGCTTTGGCCTAGGGCATAGTGTCCACGATACCGTCGCGCTGCGATTCCACAACTGTTACGCACTCATTGCATCTGGGTGTCTGCTACGTTGCTTGTGATACTCGTCCGGCGCGACGGATCGCGGACCCTTTTTAGCTTGGGCATAGTTCTGCAGCGATAATCGCCGCGATTTCGACAAAACTCAGCGATGTCGCGTCGCGCATGCTGCACGGGCGACTAAGCGATATCGCTGAGGTGCGGGGGACATCTTGAGGATTTTTTATAGACAGGCGCTGATGTTTCAGTTGTTTTTGTTTGAAAAAGAAATGGAACTTGTTTAAACTAGATGTACAAAGATACTTCTAACTTCGACGCCTTTTCCTAACCTTAAATTGTCGGATGACTTGTTTTTCGAAAGTGTAAGCATCTTTGACGAGATGGTTTTTTGGATTGTTTTCTGGGTGATTTTTGTGTTGGAGCTTTGCTTCTCGCAGAGTTAATACATTATCACTCTGCTTGTTTGCATATTCTTAAGTTTCGCTATCCGTATAACAACACCAAACATTTATGCATGTGTTTTCGCTATCTTCGCAGTGTTACCACATTTTCTAGTATGATATCTGAGGAATGCCATCAAAGTAGACAGTGTAGCTTTCAATTTCAGCAGTACTTCACAAACCTTCAAACAAATTCATCTTCTGACATTGGGGTACAATCCATGCATGTGTAGCAGTGAAAAGTACCCTGAGATGAGTGCCATAATTTATGTCCATAAAAAGGCCAGGAAAGTAATGCTTCCGCTTTTCTCTCTGTCACTTGCGCACCGTTCCCATATCCGTTAATTGAAATGGAAAGCTTTAGTTGTCCTCTTGTTCTGTAGCTGGAAGGTACAAGGTAACCGTGGCCATTCAAGATGCTATTTATATCACGAGATATATCTCGAAACACTTATTCCGTATGTGCCCTCATATTTTGCGAATCGACTCTTGAGTGTGTGTCTGTGTGTAGTCTACTGCGTGATACTACCGAACAGATAAGGCAAAGTATTACTGCATTCAGACAACTTGACTCAAATTTAGCCGCTAGAAATGCAAGGAACTTTGCATAATTGATTTTGACCCTCCTCAGTAAAATACTTCATCCTCGAAAACATAGTTATAACTCCGGCCAGGGAATTCGCAGATAAGAACGCAGATTTGGAACGAGCATTAAAGGGTGCATCCATTGCTATGCTCCTCATTATAAAAGCCATGGTCACTCTTCTCTTGTAAGACTTATGAAAGAAATTCAATGTTGCATCTTGGTAATGCTCATAATTTGATAGGCATTTTTCAAGCAGGTCGTTGATATCTTTGCAGACAAGTAGAGATTAGGCACATGTGAATTATAATAAGTGCAGAGGGAAGATTATGAAATCTGGCCAACTCGAAGGAGACTTCGTTTTCAAAATTTCCAATTGCCAACTCGTGCCTAGCCCCGATTCACTTACCACCTTGACGAGCGCACAACCATTTCGTCAAAAAATCCATCCAATCAACTTTCTGTTATTGACTTCCGCTCAAGCATATCTTTAGCAGATATGACCAATGTCAGTGGTGAGAAGGTTCAATCGTATTTTTTCCACATTCTATCAAGCAACAAGACCAAGTGCATATGGTAGGTAAGCTGTGCTAAAATCGCAGTCTACCGAAATCACAAAAGTTGAGCCTGGTTCTTAACCCTAATCAAATGGACAAGATTTGTAAAGTTTATTGAGACTCTCCCAAACACACTATGCGGAAATAATTAACCCGAGATAAAATCCTTTCGTTTATCTACAATTAGGACAAAGCAAGAGATTTGATTCCTTAGCCGATAAATACTCACTTGAAACATACCGTGATTGAAAAGTTTGAAACCGAGAATGATATTGCAGAACACGTTCTTCCAAGAAAAACTGTTTTATTTTCCCTGATTTTTCTTTAATTATCAAAGAAAAATAATCACGTTATTCTAAAGATCGGTCGACATGTTCTAGAAAGATCTCTTTGATTGCTTCTTCATATTGCGAAGAAGAAAAAGAGGTAGTTATTGGCGTTGTACTCATGGATTAAGCTGGAGTTGAAGCATTTCCCACTAATGCCCATTCTTGCACTTTTGCTGAAATTGTAGTAGTACTCTAAGCCTTCTGGTACTACTGCTCACCTGACCCATACAAGAGAAAAACAATTCCAGCGACGATGTTGAAACCACTGCAAATTATGAACGAGGCCAGCCATTTGTCGTGAAAACCCTAGCATTTTTTGAAATATCTGCTATTTCGAATTCAACATGCAGTGGTAACCTACCACTTTCGATGTAAAACCAAGCAGCATAGGGCCACATATATTCCCCAGCATCCCAAATATCATCGAGACCGAGGTAATCGATCCCGAGTATTTTGGCGCTATGCATAAAATGCAAGTGAAAAATCCGCATATACCCGCAGAGAAAACTGTACCTAAAGCCACAATACTTTATGTTTGGAAGAGATGACTTGAGTGTTAACAGACTAGTGTGGGAATCGAGAGCATACTGACCGTACAATCCTAGTAGTGGCAGCGCAATATAGGGATGTTCACAATTAGGTAACGTTGCAAGAGCAATAAGGGTGGCTGCTGAACCGAATGAACCTTGAAATCAGTCATATAGAAACAACTACTGGTTCACGAAAGTTGTTATATCGTAGACGTTGGATTACCAATGGACTGAAAGACTTTGGCACACTTTGTATGTCCAATAATGTTGTTTCTCTTGAGATAATCTGCAAGAACTGCCAATACGTTTTTTGATACCAGTTGCGCTATGAAAGGTATCATTGTGAAAAAACCATTCTGAAAATGTGCTATTTGCGGATTTACAAGTGCAGCAAATCTTTACAACTCACTGCGCTGAGTGGTAACATCAACTCCTCTTTAAAAAAGGTGGGTAGAAAAGCTTGGAGCAAAGATGCCTGCAGATTGTAGGTGAACTGACAGAACACGGCTGCGACTAAGGGCTTGGAGCTCAGCATTAGCTTCCAAGGCACAGGTAAGTTACTCTGAATATACAAATAGTTCATCGCTACAAATTTTAATGTTAGCTTATTTTTTTATAAAGGCTTTTTGTACACGTCTAGAGTTAGACAGGGTTGTGCGGATCAGCTAATGATGGCATCTTTCTCAGTCTTGTATGAGAAACACATAGAAAAAGTTACTTATCTCGTCGCGGCACCTTTTAGAATTGCCAAACAAAGTGGATAGGTTAACTAAATAATTAATGCTATGGCCTGCCAATTTGCGGCTTTTATAAGTTGTTTAAGGAGAATACCGATGAAATGGCTGATATATCATTTCGACCTGCTAAGAGACCCCCCCCCCCCCCCGGGAGAGTGGGAGAACAGGTCGCGAAATTGTCCATTACACAAATGAGTTATAAACTGTGCAACAGACATTCTTCTACTCGTAGATAATTAAGATGAATTTTTAATCTCAACATTTCAAACAGCTTGAAAATTTTCTGGGGAGCAACTGCCGTCCTTTCCTTCCACAATTTTGATCTAGCCACTAATTTTGCAAAACATTCCACAAATTTATCGTAGGGCGTGTTTACGTCATTAACAGGGCATAGTGTGGCGTCATGCCCGACCTGGGGGTCGTATTGGGGGGGGGGGAGGCATAATCAAGAACCGTTCGTTCAAAAAATGAGGAGATACTGTGATCGAGTGAAGCGAAAAGAAATGAGCTAGAAAGATGAGTACCACGACTCCACCGGAAGAAGGGATGCTGTTTTGAACAGCATACTGATTAACACTATCGAGTCTCAGCCAGATTTCAATCCTCTGTCTTTTACCATACACCAGTGGCGGACCGAAAGTGGAGGGCGCGTGTCTCCCCCCCCCCCCCGAGAATGGGTCACGGAATTTTCGAAATACTTACATGGGTTAAAAGAATGGCAAGTAACTTGTTTATTCATGTAAATAATTAAAATGATTTTTAATTCCCTAAAAATCCAAACTAGCCTTATGAAAATACTTTTTTATGGGGGCGTGGCTGTCGCAGCTCGCAAAAATTTTGGGATGCCCCCAGTAAATTTTTCGGAGTGCATGGCTAACGCCACGCAACTTCATTTGGAAAAAAATTTTCTCTCCATCCCCGGACCGAAATCCTGCGACTGCCACTGCCATACACATATCGTGGGGCCACCAAAGAGGCTCACGGTGTATATTGGGTGTGTCCATAATCAACATGTCAAATCTTCTACGAGCTCTACAAACCATTACTTGTTGCATTTTCTAGCGATTCGTAACAATGTTCCTTTCGTGCGTCGGATCACCTATGCGTTAGCGATTCAAGTTTGATTGTACACGTAAGCTACCCACCGCAGAATGTGTATGTTTGATATTTTCCACCAAATAATCTCTCTCTTCCATAGTTATAAATTTGTTGTTCGTAGGAGAATTTGTGACAAAGACCATCCATAACACCAGCCAAAGACAGCCAACTGCACCAAATATGTAGAATATGATTGGCCATCCGGGTGATAAAGTGCAAAGATAAGAAGAAAACAGAGAAGAGAATCCAGCCGCCAACTGAAAGCTTGTTTAGAAAATGTCAAAAACCTTTGAACTTAGAATATGGAAGGCATTATAAGGATGTTGAGGAGCCGCACCTGATTTCCTGAAGTGTACATCGCTGCTATCGTTGACTTCTCCGCTGGAGCATACCATTTCCCAATAAGGCTTGCAAAGCAAGGAAAGACGAAACCCTTCAACAATGTATCATGCATGTAAGCCGCAGTCTAGAGCGCAAGATCTGCACCTCTCCAATACCCATAATGACTCGAGAAATGAAGTACGCAATATAAGAATGACGAGCAAGGAATGGTGTCAGCAATGTGACAACAATGTAGTCTATGGTTAATGCTGTAAAACACGTTTTGAAAAATATACCTATAAACTTCTTCTTTTCCTCACCTATTACGATTGTTTTCGGACCATATCTGTCTGCTAAGACACCGGCGAAGCTGATAGTCACTAATCCACCGTAAAATGTTGCCGACAGTAGGAGAGACTGCATTGCTGGACTCCATAGTAGGTCACCCTAGGATAAGCTTTGCTCTTGCATGCATGTACCACATGAAATGTCCTGACATGCTATATTAGGTTGTCCCAAAAGTTTTGTCGGTTTCTTTCATCGCTCACTAAAACTCACCGTACATCAATCCACAAACGATATAGGTATTGATTCAGATCTTCATCCTCTTTCTTACAGCTAAATTTGCTCTCTGACCTACACTGTCTTTGCGATGCTATCGCCATAGCTTTTTGAGCAGCTCAACAGTAACGCCAAACCTTTCCTGATTTTTGAAAATTATTATCCTAATATTTCTAAAGAGCGCTGGTAACTGTTGTGTAGAGCAAACCTTTTGCTACATTGTGCTTATTTTAGATTACATGAGGCACTTTTAACAAGTCCGTAATAATCATTTAAAGAAAAACCGCGGCTTTCTGATTACGTTTAACATGTAAAAGTACCGAAAATTCCAAAATGCTGATTTTCCAAAGCAAATTAAACTTGGATAAGTTGCATGAATAATGTTTATTAACGAACATTTCAATTCACAGAAACTTCAGAAGTTTCCATGTTTTTGCTGCAGTTGCGTGCTTCATGACTTTGCCAAAAATCGAGACCCTTGAAGAAATAATTGTTTAAAGCTGAATACAGCACATCAGAAGTATGTAAAAATATCATCATATAGCCCGAGAATTGCTCTATTTGGGCCATGCTTAACCCTTTCAGAAACTTTGAAATGAAATTTTTAAAACTTAGCCTAACTTTGAGCAGATAAAATTGACGGGTGGAGAATTTCGGCAATTATCCAAAAAAAAGCATACAAGATTGAAGAGAAAGAAAAGCTGCACCAAATGCATGCTGAAACGCGTTCAGGTCTCCATTGTGCGTGGTCTTATAGTGGTCTGAAGAAACCGACAAAATTTTCGGGACGACCTAATAGATGAAGGCGTGCCGTGCTACAGATCGCTTGCGTATGGATTGTGTTAATCACTTACTCAATATGAAGCCGGTCTAATCCAAACTAAGTTACCGTATATCCAGCTTGAGCAATGCTCTCTACATCCGTGGCAGCAGACACACACTTCGACGAGCTAGTTAATTTGGATGTTTCGTTGATTCCGAGCGGTTCCGATGCAAAAGCAGTTGAATTTACCATGCAGACAAGAGCCATGCTCAAGTTAAGCCTCATCGATACAGTCGAGTAGAGGCCTGAATAGACCTGAATAGATCCTATGAGTCTTACAAAAGATAGCATTGCAATATTTACCAGTGGTGATAAGCAAACATATCCATAATCGCATAGATCTAGCAGAATACAATGGAAAATACCGAGGTTTTGGTTTCTTATCTGAGCTTTCCATAATCAAAGTGCCTAAAACTGTACATGATAAGTCTAGAAAAAAAGGATAACAAATTGCTGGAATTTTTTTATTGACTCGAATCTGAGAGCACGCAGTAGTGACTAAAAATGATCACTGCGTTCACTCCTCCGCTCCCGCCGCATATTCGTCACTAAAATCTGCATAATCCTTTTGCACTGCGATTTTCGTACAGTGTTTTGAAAGCTATATCATGTTATACTACGTTCACAAAACCGAATTACTTAGACGGACGCACCGTTCCCTATCAGCATGCTCGTTGTTTCGTCTCCATTTCCAGTTTCAATTGTTAACCGTTCCATATCAGAATTGGAGGCATTTTTTGGGCATGAGCTTTTTTGTGCGTCATTGTGCATGATTCTGTATCGGTAGAATACTGTAGAATACTCAGTCAATCTTTGGCAACCTGGAAGAGCGAGTAACGTGAACAATCCAGCTGGCATATAACATAGCACATATATGGCGGAATACTCCCAACGAATGCTATGAAATTCAATCCGAGCTGACTTGCCATATTTTCCGTATACAAAACTCACTCGAATACAGTTCGCACGCCTGACATATTTTAGAAATTTGATTATTGTTAACTTTAGGAAGCTTTAGTGCAGGCCTGACCCATTCCATCTAGGAAAAATCATTCAGCTAATGATTCAAACGTGTAAATTCGCTCGTAACAAGAACATAGTAACAAATCTGTGTTGCCTTCTGCGGGGTACTAGGTATTTATGAAACTGTCTCTTTCGCCTCTTAGGAGTTTATTACCATCTCTACTCTGAGCACAGTATTTCTTCTCTCCAATTTTTTTCGCCTCACATTACCTTTCATTGTGCTTTATACGTAAAGAGCACTCTAACCCTTCAGCGCTATGATTATAAGCTCTCAGGATACGATGAAAAGAATGCCTCATCCAGCGCAAGCACCCGCCTCCAAACTACCTAGACTGACGAAGTGACATACCATCAAAGTGACTGTCAAGATACTTTGTTGCAGGCCTTCGCTTGAAGTATTGTCAAACAAAAGGAAAATTGAAAGAAAAAGGGCTATGTAATTTTGAAAACGATATTAACGTATTCATTCATGATCGCATCGAATATCTGGTCAAACGAAATTGCGCGAAGCTCTAATTGAAGAAAACAGACAAGAAAAGTACCAAAACAGAGACGAAAAGTTTAGTTCGTAAAATTTCCGAACTTCAGTAGGTGTTATCTTCATACTCCATAGAAATGAATTCATCAGAAAATCAGTCAAGAGTTCAACAGTATCACACGGAATGATCTCACTTGCAAAAAAGTTGATCGTTAAGGCAAAGGCCCTTCAGAGGTACATCATCAAATATTGTCAATATTCATGCGAAATGTTTCTGCAAAATATGAGGTATGCTCAGAAGAAGGGTAAATGGAACGTTTGAAGAGCTGCTGGAATGCTGCGTAGCATCAGCGCTGATTAGGGACTTTTCTTGAGAGATGTTGCATTTCAAGTATCATATTTCGAACAATTTGATAATTATTCGGTGCCCGCAGAACGCACAAGCATCGAAACCTTTGTGGAGAAAAAAATGAGGCTTGGCCCAAGAGCAATCATATGGATATGGATAAATTTTGTAAAATTACATCTTTTCTTTGAACCTATGCGATCAAACATACTAGTAAAAGAGACAATATGATATATAGATTCGATAGATATTATGGACTTTACATAAAGCAAATGGAGGTTTTGTAGATAATTGATCGACCGAAATGGCTAATATAACAGCCTTTCGCTACATTCTCTGCACGCCTGCGGCAATTTCCCAAGGAAAATTGCCATGAGGTCATATCGTTCAAATTGCGTCGAAGAAAAAAAATCCATGATGGAATCACATATGCATTCGTTGGACGCTTTAATAGAAACAACTATTGTCTTCGAAGTATCCCAAGCAAATTTTGAACACTCCGAGTGTGTAGTAAAATTAGTAATAGGGTATCGGTAGAGAGACTTCAGCATATTAAACAAATCTTTCTCTTTGTGTTATTAATATATATCAAACTGGTAAATTAGTTTATTAGGCAGCTATCGCGGTACACGCCGACATCGCAAAAAGGGGATCCCTCTATGCAGTGGTCTTCCGCTTGACAGAATTACGATTTTTCAAAAAACTAGCGTACAGAATGACACGGAATTCAATACATTCTAGCCTCCGGCTCTTCACAGAATTAGGATCACTCAGTCTTGAGCCATAACGGTATGCCCACTTCATGGTCACTTCATTTTAGTACAGGGTTCAAACAATGTACTGTTTTCGCAAAGCAATTTTAGGAAAAACGTTCATAGCGACAACTAGTACTAACAAAAGTCAATACATCTTCTCCATTTGATCCATTCTGTTTAACTGAAGCAAGCGCCCCCCCCCCCCCCAACCCTCCACTTAATCACAGCCAAAAATCGCCAATACAAATCACGTGAAGATCAGAGACTTCGGGATCTTTGTAATAATTTCTGTAGCGCGCATTAAAAACGACTGTAGGATATCACGAGCACTATGTCTTCTTACTGCTGTGTAGATTTCGGAGAATGTGAAAGTCGAGTCACTTCATCGGAAGAAAGATGAGAAAGGCTATTAAATAAGTGGAGGAACAACTGGGATCATCTTAAAGTCATGGCTTAATCGATAAAAAATATAAACAAGATTGGCAAAAAAATGTCATGATCTCCGAATTTTCCTTTGCATCATGATGCGAATAAAATTAGGAGTACACCTGCTGCGGTCAACAGCAAATCTGCATGATGAGCACGGCTTGCTAGCGAGTTTCAAGCCAATCGATTCGTTAGTTAGCTGTCACAGGGAGCCGTTGTGCTCTATGAGCGCTTACGTCAAATCGTTTTCTGGTGTGGAATTTGAGTTGCCCAGAAGTCGGAGAATGTTTTTCCACACAGAAATCTAATGTTTGTGCTGGAACTTTTTGGGAGTGACACTATCAAGCTCTTATGTATCACATAAGCCATAATGCCAGACCCATTGAACCTTTTCCCCGTGTCTGTTTTCTAAAAAGATCATTGGTGCTCAGTATTTCGGGCATTTCATAGTGTTGAACTCTTGTCATATTAGGTTGGTTCAAAAGTTCTGTCGTATCATTTTCAGAAAGTAACTTCTTGCTATCTGGACAGATTTGCTTCGCTTTAAATTTCATCAGAAAGAAGGACCTTCCGCTTTGTAGCACTTTTTAGCGAGTCTCCCACGAACACTAGCCTGCAGAGATAAAATTGGATAAAGAAGGTCATTCAAACTTCGATCATTTTTGACCTACTCTTTACAACTATGGAAAGTTTGTGCTGTTTGGACGTCTCGGAAAGTTACAAATTTAGAGTTTCCTTCAGAAAACGCAGAAAATAATCTATTCGTTACTCTTCTCGAAAATCATAAATTCTCGCAAAGACGTCAAAACAGGACAAACTTTTTTTCAGTTGCAAAGAGTAGGTTAAAAAACTCATGTAATGACGATTTCAGCTTTTTCTGCAGCTTTCCATTTTGGTGACCTAACATATGATCAATTCTTATATGGTCTCACTTTTCCATTTTTATGTCTGCACTCACAAAGGAATGGTCAGAAGTCGAAGTGGCCAAACCAAACAAGTTGTGTACCATTCGATGTACAAAACGCTGACTTCAGATCAGCCTTTCTTATCTGCTTCTCGCTTCTGTGGACGAAGCTACAAGCAGTTTTATTGTGATAAAATCGTACATAGAAACTGCGTGATTGAGCACATTGTTGCCCCTTCAGCTCAGCTTTAGGCTTTGAGAATTCAAAGTAAGTAAGCTGTATGTTTTGGCCCAGCATTAAGCCGAACGTGGCTCTGTACGGCCAAATTTTTACTTCCACGCATAATTTCTTAGCAAAATAATGGCTTTTGATAACTTATAGCTCCGTTCAGAAAAGCGAAAAGCAGATAAGGAAGACAGATTTGGACTCAGCGCTTCATGCTGCATCTAATGGTATACAGCTTGTTTGGTTTGGCTACTTCGATTTCTGACCATTCCCTTGTCAGTGTGGAACAGAAGCTCTGCAAGACGGTATTTGAAAGAGGAATACGATAAAATTACAAGCAAGCAAATTCGTTGAGGTATCGCAAAGTTACAAATTTTTGAAAACGAAGCGACAGAACTTTTGGGCCGACATAATACTAGCCAGTAAATCTTCCGACAAAAGTTTTGATAACTCATAACTCTGCATCCTTAAGAAAACACTCATATTGACATAAGATTTTGCTTCTAACAGAAATGCTTGAGAAAAATTATTTGTTGCCATAATGCAGTGATAAAAGCTGATTTAAAAAAGTACCCAAAATTTTATGTTTGAACCTTTCGCTGGAAACGCTTGCTTAAATCTAGTTTTAGTTTGACTCCTAATTTTATGACCTGCTGTTTCTATCCAAGACAATTACGCGCCGATCGGAAGTTTCTACGAATATTTATAATTTTTGCAGGTTCATTTCAAAATTTCGATTTTCTGTTCAGTTCTGATATATACATATTTTCAAGACTACATCATACGATTTGGAAGAATTATTCATAGTTTTCAGAAAGATTTCTCGTATTTTTGGTGCAAGTTTATCTATCCACTTGATATCTGTAGTGCAAATGTTTTGGGAGCTGGTTCAGTTTCAAAAAAGTTTTGAAATGAGATCTTTCAGCCCTAGAGGTAGGTTAGACTTTTGTGAAAGATTTTAATCTTTTCTCTTGAAATCTCGCCATGTCAGAATCATAAATTACCAGCAGTTTTCCTGTTCGAAAAGGCGGTTGTGAAAAGCTATGTTGTTAGTCGTGCTGGTTGGTGTTGTGATCTACTGAATAGTGCATGGAGCATAATATCAACAATGCTGACAGTTGTTATTTTTTCACCCTCATAGCATGTTCTGATATTTTTTCCGTTTTTGCCTACTGCACCGCCTATAGCCCCAGCTCAGACAGTCGGTGCCGTAGCTCCGGAGGACAGTCGAAATCTGGCAGAGCTGCGAAGGACCCTATTGACCATTGAGAGCGGGACGAGGGGGCGGTCCCTTCTTGTGGGTCACGGTGATGTCACAAGCAGGCGAATGGGACCCCTCTCCGGGACGCGCGAATCTCTGCTCCGGAGGTGCGCCAGATTTGGAGGAGCCCCGGAGCACAAAAATGCGTGAAATGGCAGGGCTCCGGAGCGCGAAGTGGGAGGGCTCCGGGGTACAAAATGGGAGGGCTCCGGAGCACAAAATGGGAGGGCTCCGGAGCACGAGTGGCAAACCCCCGCTGGGGAAACCCCGCGGCTCTGCCATTTCTGCTCCGGAGGTATGCCGTCGACTGTCTGAGCGATCACAGCTGTTTCATTTGCATACTTACGACTAACACATTACATAGATCGACACTCCAAGGTGGACTATTCGTACGCATCTCACGCAAACCAACATCGAGCGGCTAACTACCATCAGATGCAGACTTGATGAAACTCTGCGTCTATCTCGAAAATGCCGTAGCCGTTTATAGAATTTTTTTTAGCAAAAAGTTCTTAGCCAGGGCTCGGCACGAGGTGGCTAGTTGGAAACGCAAAAAACGAAGTCCCCCTTGACTTTTGCGAATTTTTACGAAGTCCCCTTTGACCCTAGACCAGGGCTCGGCACGAGGTGGCGTCCCGAAATTGCAAAAAATGAAGTCCCTTTTGACTTCAATGAAATTACGACATCCGCCATGAGATATTAGAGAAAATACATGAAAAGGAACGGAACAAAGCAACAGCAGAAAAAAACGAAGAAGAATCATCGAACACATGCAATTATATTCATATTCTCCGGAATGGCGACATGATGTATTCATCGTGCAGTAATACGCGCCTAGAGCAGCCTTTCCGCGGCCATTCAAAATTTTCAAGGGGCTATAACTAAGCGGGGAGAAGAGGGTTTGAGGCGGTTTAGGAACCAGTTTGTAGGATTCGGGATGTAGATGAAAAGTATGTAAAGAAAGTGGAAAAATTATGCGAGGGAGGGAAAATTTATGACTTTTTCTTTCCTAAGCCACCTCAGGTGGCTATCCAGGTGGCTTGAAAGCCACCTAACTCCAAAAAAAGTTGAGCACGCCTTTAGTTCACATAATTTTTTCATAATTTTTCATACATAGTTCTAACTCCCCATTGCCCATCTACACACCTATTTTGGTGTCATTTCATCTTCACTTCGCTGTAAACAAACCTTTTGTTTATTTGCTAGCGGCATGCCGGCAGCGTGCCGGCCGCAGATCGAAAGACAACGTTATTCTCTTCCGCAAAAACGATATCCGCTTTGCTTTTTCCCCAAAAACGATATCCAGCTTGCTTGCTAAGCCACCTGTGCCGTGCCCTGTTCTTAGCGTCCGCGTTCACTTTTAGCGCTTCTGTATTTTATACATATGCAAGAGTGGCGCCATGACAAGCGATGATGTCTCTGGAAAGGGCTCGATTCCACACTGTGATCTTGTTTTGGAGTTTGGCTAATCAACGGATTAAATAGCTAATAATCTTTTCTCAAATTCACTCCTCATAGTAAGTGATTCTGACGCCATTGTCGTTCCCTATAAGTATCAACTGGTCCGGATACTATGCTTAAGCCGCTTGATGCTGGATGTAGGATTGGATTTCAAATCAGTTTAGGCAGGTCCAGATACTCAAATCTATCTGAGCAATATCGTCCTGCGCTCGTACCAAATATACATAGGTACTGACAAAGGCGATTGCTTGGAACGTTGGCCGAACGAAAAGTAATAACAATCAGTAAGCAGTTGGCATAGTTGATGCAATTCATGCCTTGTAAACTATTTTTTCAAGTATCGAATGGAATTGAGTACAGATTTATACCTATAAGATATGAACAACATCAATACGTTCCTTACAGCGGCTGAAATGCGTAACAGGTGATGTCGTCTTTTGAACTTTGACAGAAGCTATCGGTATGTGCCACATAACTGAATTCGCCTTTTCCACAAATAACGTTGACGGTTACGTTGAGGTTATCTTCTGCTGCTTCTTGGATTGCTCTCTTTGATGAAGTGGCATCATCCGTTATATACTAAAAATTGTGCTTACGCATTTCGGACTGCTTAAATCACCCGATACCTCTTGTATGATAGTACGCAAATCTTCACTGTTGCATGAAGGGTCCACTGTCTTGCTTGAGTACAAAGCTTTTCGTTTGTACTTGCAAGGCGCCGAACAGCCACAGCAGCAGTCATTCTGGAACGTCATCTTGAAGAAGTGGTATTAGCAATTTAGCTAGGAGGCAAGCTCACCTGCGCAGGCGGACGTGGGGGCGGAGCTACGGGTGGGCCTCCACCACATCCTCCTCCAGATCCAAAGCTTGGGCCTGATGCGATTGGATACGTACCTTGCATCGGATATGGTGATCGGAATGCATATGAGGGGTACATCGGGATATAGGCTGGGCGACATCCGCACATTGGCGGAGGTGGTGGCGGTGGCGGCGGTGGCGGGGGCGGGCACATAGGAGGAGGTGGGCACAGTGGGGGTGGAGGGCAGAACCTAAACAGCAGTTCTGCGATTTTGGAACTACATTTGCCGAAATAGTAACTCGCCACTCACTGTAACGGGCATGGAGGAGGTGTTGGGCAAAGAGGCATTGGCGGAGGAGGGCACATTGGCCGTGGTTGACACATGGGCATCGGACATCCACCACATCCACCAAATGATGGAGGAACTGCGTATTGTGTTGCAACAAAGGGAACAACAACCTAACAAACCATACATTATAGATAGTAATGACTAATTTCAGAATAATCTTTGCAACAAGATTCTTCCTTACGCAGAAGACACGCTTCTATCTACTCAACTTCTCCTTGGGGGAAGACTTATACATACAGTTTCCCTTGAGTCAGCTGCTTCTACCCTTTATCGACGTTGACGCATAAATCAAAAATATCGCGTTTGAGACGTAAAGTCACTGTAGCTGTTATAATGAAGCGCGTCTTTCTAACATAGTTACATGCTATATTTCGTCGACTTGTGGCTGATTGCCTTCTTTTTCTATAATAAGTGTTTGCGCATCAGAATGCATATATCGTTTTGAGGACAATATTGACCAGAACACAAACTATTTTGGTTGCTTTCTTGCCTTCTCTTTCTATCCCCTCCCCCATCCCCTTCCGTTCCCGTGCTTGCATGCAGAAGATCTACAATACATTCATTTGCTACAGCTCCTTCCGGCACTTTACCTTCAGTGAGTTGCGAAGCAATTCTTCTTTAGTTGCTATGTAGCCACCAAGATATGAATCTCTATCCAGGTTAATTCGCAAAGCTACAAGAGCTTTGTAGTGTTGATTCACGGTATCGCTACGCTGAACAATAAGTGACCGAACTGTTACTCTCCCATCCGCGTATGTAAGTAAGGAAAACAGTAATTCGTTCGGTTACTATACTTTCGGCTTATATGAACTGACCGCAATTTTCACAACGATGTTATCTGCTTCTAGCGTTCGCCTTGTACCCTGCTTTAATTCTAGATTGCGCTCTAGAAAGCTCTCAGAATTTATGCGTGAGGGGCGTTGCTAGAATCATAAGGCATCCTCATTAGAAGGAAATATATTAGGTGGGTCCGAAAGCTCGTGTCGTTTTACCTATTCTCAAATTATTCAGAATAAAGACAAACAAACAATTTAGGAAGAGTTCTATGCAGAATTTCTTTCTCTTTCCAGTATTAGTGCTTCTGTTCAGATTCTTTTGATGCGCTTGGAAAACCGTCAGAATCTTCAACTCATGGTTTTTTCCTACCCTGACTTTTCCTATTTTTCAAAGTTTTTGTTCTGGACTTTTGGAATTACTTTGATAACATTTAGATAGAGTAAACAATATGCAATGAAGCATTTTTTTGTCATCGATAGCTGTTGCAAAATTTTTGAGAATATTTTTCCGATGGCATCAATTTCCATATTTGGGCATCGCAATCCTCATAGAACATCAGACGGCAAACAGCTAGGGTGTCATTCGATGCAGCTTATTCCCCTCTTTTTGACAAGCATTCTTCTTTTCTGATTTGTAGAAGCCTCGCGGAAAGCCATCATTCTAGTTTTGTGATGCGTCCCAGGCTGCACCCGAAAATGTCAAAAATCAATCTTTCGAAACGGTAGAAACTCAATTGTTTTTTAAAAACAGTGTTTAATCATAATCGATTCTTGGAAGTTCCAATTTGCGAAGATCTCATCGTGTTTGAAGCGTTTTTATATTGCACGATTTCGCAAACGTGAAGACTTTTGGAAAACTTGGTTTAAAAATGCTGAAAAGCCAGCTATCGATGCTAAAAATTGGATTTAGTATCATTTTGTTTATTCTATCCAACTGTTATTCAAGTATTTCCAAAAGTCCAGAACGAAAATTTCAAAAATTAGCCAAAGTTAGGGCACGCAAAATACATGGGTTGGAGATTGTGGCGATTATTTAAAAGAACATTGAAAGAATCCGAACAAAAACAGTACTGCTGAGAAGAGGGAGAGATCCTGCACGGAAACTTTCTAAAGTGTTTATCGATCTTTATTCTGAGGATCTGATCTTTCTTTATATGAGGATAGACCTAAAAAACTGCACGAACTTTCGGACCCACCCAATAAAAGGTATTTAATGTTTTATGGAAGCTCATGCATATCTGAAATATTATATAAATGTATGTATATTTCATGCAATGCAAATTGACAAAGTTATGAATACGTTCTAGCATTTATGACTGAACTTGCAACTATCTTTAGCAGAACAGCGGACTCACCAATAGAAGAGCGATCATGGCTTGATCCAAGGAAGGGTTTAGGATGTGGACCTTACATGGTTTATAAGCGAGTGTGTCCGAGACCGGATTGCAGACGTCCTTCGTGGAGCCCACTCAAGGCTAGCATTCTGGTCGACAGTGAGATGAAGGAATAGGAATTCATAAAGTAAATAGACAGTCTATCCATAATGTGCGATGTCTATCATGTGGCTAGGAAAGTACAGTGTGGCTGTTGGATCCAGCATCGATAATTTTGATAAACAATGGTTCTTGCAAAGCTAGGTTCTCATAGTGGAAACGTTCCAGAACACAAAAAAAAACACACACACCACCTGAAATGCTACTGTGGAAGTAGTTCAAATCAGAATGACTGGATACTCTTATTATCATAGATGATAACGAAACTTTACTCTTCCATTGCCAACCTCCAGTTTCGAGCTATAGATGTAAATGTGCCTAACTGGTATTTAATATTGGTCATCCTAATACGCACAAACAACGACGAGATCCGAAAATTGTTGCGTACATGCGTTATAGGAAACAATAAATAAGTTTTTGATCTATTACCAAGGGTCGAATTTATTGATTCACGTTGTTACGGCAACCTTACATGAATCTGTTCTACATGGGAATAGCTAAAAGCCCGAAAAGGAAAGTGCGCTCGAACGAGCAATACAGTCCTGGGCTCATAGGGAACTTTTAACTAGAAGTGTCAGGGAAGAACTCAAATAGTTCCATTTATCACGTTCGTGCCGGGTTCTCTCTACTACCGTACCAACTGAAGAAGCACAGTGATGTGGTGAAACTACCAGAATGGAGATCAGCCAAAAGGTATATGAATGAGGCGAAATTTGTGAAGAAAAACACGCGTAAACCCTCTGCGCACACATTGGCCTGAAGAAATGAGCATTTGGCGTAAAGAATGGCAAGCATAGCAAGCAACACTGTGACAGTGCTCCATTTCTTTTTATTCTGGTGATCCTAAGCCGAGATGAGACTGCAGATCCGCGGAGGAAGAGGTATCTTGTATAAAGGACTAGCTGACTTGCCCGGCTTCGCCCGCATCGCTCAGGTCTAGCTAACTCAAGGAGTGCTGGTGCGCAATTTCGGAGGTTAAACTTATCTGCCACTCGACTTTCTTCTCTTTACAGTATAGAAGACTCATGAGTCATGACTGCAGAGTCTTGAAATACCACATCTGCCGCTTCGTGAAGTGTAACTGAGTTCCACCGCTGTTGTTTACACGACAGGATAGTGGTTTGATAGTAATTGATAAGACTCCATTTTTTCGGAATCTATAAATCTAATATATAAAGAATCGTTAACTCAATTCAAAAATGTGCAAATAGCGGGAAACCGCGCGACGGTCCCGAAGCGAACGCTCTTCCAGATAGCACTTTTAGACTACTGGTTCACTATTCAATAGAAAGGGGTGGGGGAACGAACGCCTCAATTTGGCCCCGCCTCCATGTTCGGACGCGTGCGAACTCGAACAGATTCTGCAAAGTTTACGATCTTTCACACCATACGCAGCAAAGCGCACGCCAACATTGCCGGTTGGCAGTTATTCGTGTTTTTCATCAAGTTTTTGCTTCCTCTCCTCTGTTTTGTTGCTCTGCCGATGTGTGCTCGTCTGTCGCCCCTGTATTTCCAACTTGCTATCGTTTGCTCTGCCTTACGACTGTATTTGTTTAGGAACAACTCTCTCACTAGACTGATTTTTCGCAGGCTGTTGCAGGGACCGCTATTGTGAATCTGTTTCAATCGAACGGGCAAGTATTTTATGGTGAAGCATACGAGAAGATTGGGAAATGTGAGTCTGTGCATTTTTTGAACAGCATTGACTCTCTAATGTACTACAAGTGCGTGTTGGTTGAATGCTTTCGTCCTTCACTTTTGGAACCTTTTTTCTTTGAAACCGTGATAACAAGATGGGAAGGTCTGACGTTTTCATGAATAATATTATAGTACATTCGAGAGTTTAAGCTTGTCACAAACTGTGTATGATTCCAGAATGCTCGCAAAATGCTGAGAAGAAAGATCACAAGAACGATTCCCGTGCACAGGAAAAATTATAGGTGAGTTCCATCTCATCTGCTGTTCTTTTGTAGAGCCAATCTTGGTTTGGTTTTCTTTTTAGAAGGCTATACTCCAGGATTTGTTGCGGATGTATTCAAGCTGAGTATAGTATTCAAGCTCTGTGCTAGATGTGGTGATTGGACGTACTGCCCTTTTAGCAAGAAATCCACTTATCGTGCGGTATGTAGAGCATTCTAGCTTTTTGTTCAGGTGCCTAGCTATCGGTTAACTCAAATTGCCCGCTTTCTGGCAATGTTGTGTGATAGAAACTTTTGTTTTTTCGACTTATATGTATAGGTAGTACTATGAATGATGTTTTTACCAAGAGGCATACCTCTCTGTTGGCGTAGTACATAAAGAGTAGTAATTTCGATTCAGTATTTCGTTTGCTTTCCTCAGCTGATAGCTATCAACTAGCATATGATTTCAGGTCCGATTGCTTCTCCGAAATGGGCGAGCATATCGCCCTCTTGCATCCACTGCTGTCCAGCATCGTCGATTTTATCAAGAGAGACCTAACCCATACCGAATCAATCGTTTTTTATCAAGAAACGCGTTTCTGCGGGTGTGGTTGGAAGAATTCGTGTGAGTTCCGGGATTTTTCTCAGATTTTCGTGCTGTACCATAGCTCTGGAACGCCTTACCTCTTTCACATTACCTCGAGCTTTCATCTCGCTTTTGCGTTGAATACATTTTATATGCAGCGAGAATTCGCTGATGCTTGTGGAAGTATGATCGGCTCCAAGATTCGTGTGGAGGCGGTCCGCGGACTTTCTGAGGTTGTAAGGACGTGTTAAACTTCCGCGTCATAGCATTGTTTATCTTACTCTCTCGCCATCAAACACCGCCACTCTTCTAACTGCCACGACTCCGCCTTTACAGGAATCGTGGGGCCGATGATAGTCTCACAGGCGCTTTTACAAAAGCTTGTATCTTTGCCAAAGGATTATTATTAGTTGCGCGCTCTTTTTAATTATGCATATACCTAGCGCAGGGCTAATGTAGAGAAATAGTAAGAGAGCAGTTTTGAAACATTAATAATCTCGCATCAAAAGTGTGCCGGTTCCTTCTGTTTTTTGGCAGAATCTAATCAGTCTGGGCTTTGCATCTTGGATTTGAACATTTTGTTGTAGGTGTTTTTCTGAAATCTTAGCAACGTCGAGTTTTGTAGGATGTCTCCACCAATGTTAAAATGCAGATCTTGCAAGAGGAGTTTATCTCAGCAATATTGATGGATATGAATAGCCAAGCAATAGGTAAGCAGCGGAAAGCGCTTGTTTTCATTGATGTTTCACTGTAATCAAACAGTGCTTAGCAATTGAAATGGATTTCTCAAGCTTTACTTTTTCGCTGGAGTTTTGTCATAACTCGAAAGTCATATAGAACCATCATTGTTGATAACGTTTTACAACCTATATTTCAATCAAGAGCTGGTGATATTTTAAACTTTGTTACGTTTTTCTTATGTTCTTTTTAGAAAGAGTTTATCAGCACAAAATTTTTTGATTGACTACAGTGCTGGCCAAAACTATAGATCCACTATAAAAAACTGCCGTAGTTCATCTGCTTCTCAACGAATTGATCTGAGATTTGGTACAGTTGTGTGTTCAACAGGCATTCATCAGTGACCGGAGCGGATTCCGCTTTCGTTAGATTATGCAGGAAAAAAATTAAAAATTTCGAAAAAAGCAGGCTCGAAGGCTGGCCAAAACTATAGATCCACCTAAAATTTCTGTCTGCTAACGTGACTCTTAGCTTCCAAAATCTTTTGTGCATAAACCTAGTCGAAAGTCAAAGCAGTGGGTTTAGTTTAGCTGCGTCATACCTTTATAAGAAACGCTTATCTGCTTTTTTCCACTCAAAAACTGCTCTCATGCGTATTTTGTTCCCGAGAATGTGTTTTTGTAGAGGATTCCGCACTTTTTTGACTGGTTTGAAAGTGATAGGGCTCCATCTATCTTGTAGATGCTTAGTAGCGTGAGCAGCAGAAAAAAATTCGGGTTTTGTATCTAAAGCGCACCTGACATAGACCTAACCGCAGACCTGCGTTCAAATTTATGCCTTCAAGCTCTTTCTGCAACGTTGTCATGAGCGTGAACTGGAGTAGTTGCATTGTTGGTATGTATGAGAGTCCGTGTGCAGTGGTTGCAGGTTTCTGCAGATCCTAGTATGCAGGCTAATTGAGGACTTCATCCTGCAAATAGTGATTTGCAACAAGCCTTGAAGTTATTTCTGCTTCTGACCATAATGCTCATGTGAATCACAAGGCAACATATATTGCAGGGTGTATTCAATAGTTAGCAGCTAAAAAGTGGCAAAATTCAAAGAAGGTACCAGTTGGTAAGTACTTTGAGATTGCCGAACACACCGCAAGACTTATGCTTTGAAAAAGAATTAAAGTGCGACTTCGCAAGCAATCGTAACTATAGTTTACAAACTTCTTTTTAGGTGAATAATGCTAAATAATGCTTCTACATTATTTTGAGCTTATAAAAATAGCGGATACCAATTTTGAAGGCAAAAATTCGAGCGCAGGCCTACGGTTATGTCTGTGTCAGGTGCGCTTTGGATACGAAAACCCGAATTTTTTTCTGCTGCTCACGCTACTAAGCATCTACAAGATAGATGGAGTCCTATCACTTTCAAACCAGTCAAAAAAGTGCGGAATTCTCTACAAAAACACATTCTCGGGAACAAAATACGCATGAGAGCAGTTTTTGAGTGGAAAAAAAGCAGATAAGCGTTTCTTATAAAGGTATGACGCAGCTAAACTAAACCCACTGCTTTGACTTTCGACTAGGTTTATGCACAAAAGATTTTGGAAGCTAAGAGTCACGTTAGCAGACAGAAATTTTAGGTGGATCTATAGTTTTGGCCAGCCTTCGAGCCTGCTTTTTTCGAAATTTTTAATTTTTTTCCTGAATAATCTAACGAAAGCGGAATCCGCTCCGGTCACTGATGAATGCCTGTTGAACACACAACTGTACCAAATCTCAGATCAATTCGTTGAGAAGCAGATGAACTACGGCAGTTTTTTATAGTGGATCTATAGTTTTGGCCAGCACTGTATAATATGATGGAGTATGACATCTTTCTCGCTTTCTTTAGTTCCTAAATTTGATGTAACCATGTTATTGATTTGTATGTGAGTCGCTCATTATTATTTATGTTCAGGTGAATCCAGCGCACAGGTCGAGAGGACTTTGAACAGACAGAAGCAGCAGCAACTTGTGATCTCTACTTCTCCTTTGAAAATTGTATCATAGGTAATTTTTGACAATCCTATGTTGATCATGTTTACATATTCTTTGATTTTTGGATTTTCTTTTGCTGTACCTTACCTTCCTTATTTTTTTTCTTGTGTATGTTTACTTTTTCCAAATTTATGTCGTTATGTCGTGGAGGATGATAAATCTACTAAATGGCTTTATCTGTAACATATTTTGCCATCCTTTTACAATAATTCTCGGTGTCGACCCTCGTCACACCTTGCCCCCTGTATCGATCCTCGAACCTAGAAAAACGCCCTTTACATAGTGTAGGCTTAGTCAAAGGGGGCATACGTTCTCATTGCATCAGCTATCTCCTCTCTTCGCTCCAAAAACTCGCGGCTGATTTCCTTTTGCCGGTCAGGATGCTAAAGAAAACTTCAGCTAATGGAATTGGTATTTACTGATTAACGATTTTTACCATTTCTAGGGAGTTTAATGTTGCTCTGCACTCCGCCTTTAAGGTGTGGAAAGTATTGATGACATCTGACAACGTAGGAAAATCCTCAAGTATTACTGTCAGCCGCCTTAAAAGAAATTCATCAAATTGTTAGGAGTTTTTCTCAGCATCCAGCATCTGACCGATGAAAGGCCTCCGCAATATTAGTGGTTCTAACATCGTACACTCCTGACTTGTCCCAGAGATCGGATAGGGGTCCCCTGTACCATGTATTACCTAGGTAATTCAAGAAATTAGTACAGCTAGGATGGGCTGGGTGGTCGCGTGGAACAGGCGGTTCCTTCAATGCGCGGACTACACCGTGCAAGCGTCTTGGCAAGAATACTAAGCCTTTAATGGTATTCCACCACTCAGCGACTTCCGCTGTGGCTTTTTCGCCAGAGATGAAGCGCGTCAGCCCGAACGCATTTCGCCGCCTTTCCACGCCAACGCAAGGTGGAAGGAACAGCCCTGAAGTGTGCTTCTTTCGAAAATGGTGCGAATGGCGGCGATGGCGGCTCTCTTGTAGTCGACCACTATATGCAACCCGTCGAGATCAGCCCCGAATCTAAGCAGATGGGTTTTTAGCTGTGTGAGTACTGTCTCGTAGGCTTGCTTATCTTTTTTCTCCATGATTGCATAGAGGAGGGGCACATCAAAGCCGCCGCGACAGACTCCATGGATGACATAAAGTTGGGAGCCTTTCTTGACGCATCGCGGTGCTTTGCTATGCACGGCATCCGCCACAAGCACCGAAAGTGCATTCTTGCAGGCTTTCTGAAATAATTCCGGTATATAGCTGGCATGGATTTGCTAAGGCTAGCACCTCGATGGATGAATCTGAGATGTATACGTGCATCCCATGTTCTTTCACTTGCAGAAATGCACTCCCATCCCATAGATTAGCTAGGTAACTGGGGATGTTGTCCATGGTCACAGGGTTGGTGTGCCCTGTGCTGCAAGCTCTGCAAAATCTCAACTTTTGACTTTGCAATGGGCCTCCATAATGTTTTTCATACTTCCTAATTGCACGCTTCTTGTGCGAAAACCCGTCTCCGCGGTATTCGTCCACTACCCGCACCCGCAAGTCATTCTCTACAAGAAAAAATCTCAAATATCTGATAATTTTAAAGCTTATTTGCACCTAGGGTTGCATCTTGGTCGATACTTCTGATGGTGTCCAAATAATGCCTAAGAGGAGGCTTGCTACTGGCATTCGGATCACTTCGAAGATCTCGTAGCACCTAATTTGGTCTCTATTTGGCGCATGAATGATGTTTCTGCGGTGTTACCTTGTATGATGTTCTCAATGCTAGGTTTGCTACTGTTGAAGGCGTGCAAACGTGGGGCAATTCGCAGGGGTCGCTCAGGAACCTCGTGCCGATGACCTGAGTCGTGCTTGGTCAGGGTAAGTATGCAATTGGGGAGTTAGGGTGGGACGGTGACATGTGACTCACTCCAACCGAGATCGTTTTCTTCAATGTCTTGCACCTCACACAGGAATACCGGTCATATTTCTTGAGCTTTTTGGAGAACGCAAAACTATGTGCCATGTCCGTGCCTGGAATTAAATACGCCAAGACTTCCTGCTTCCCCGACCGGCTTACCTGTTTTTCTCCAATATAATGATGATTTTCCGTGTTCATGCCCGAAGTTCCGGGTTCATCGTCATGCTAGAAAAATCACTGTGTAGATTGTGCACTTGCTCGGAAAATTTAGAAGCGCTGTATTTGACTTGTTAGACAAGCTTGCCGTGACATTATAGCAAATTTGAAACTTTCAAATGCAAAATGTGCAACTCCTTCAACCTAACCTCTGCAGGTCCGGCTTGCAACTGACTCCGTTGCGCTACAAAAAATAAGATAAGGGGAACTTTTCAAACTTATTATGTAGTTACCACTCGGTATATCCACAGATGCATAGTTCAGAGCTCCACTGAGCTCGTCGACCTCGAGGAGGAGAGTTCGGTCTTCGTTTGCAGCCATTATGCTGGAGAAAGTAATTCTTAAGATCACTCAAGGTCAAGAGTTTGACTTAGCTGAGTTAGTGATCAATCAGACAAACACAGATCTTAGTGGAAATTGGATAGAAAAGGAAGATGGTTATATTCGAAGTCTATAATGATAGCCACTCATCATGCATGCTTAGTGATAGACATCTTTCTGCATTATGTGGCATCAGTAAGGTAGCGAAATAGTGGAAAAACGGCGTGTTGCTATCACTGCAATTTGCAAAGCTCATCTTATCACAAAAAAGATGAGTACTTTGCAATTCTCGTGAAAGTCAGCCACACAAAGATGGAAAGACAGAAGAAGAAGAAGATAGAAGATAGAAGCTAACTAACATCACCAGGTCTTGCTTTTAGGACGCAGACTTTGATAGTGTTGATAGCGACATCATCACTGCCCAAATTATGAAAAAAGTATGCATCCTGCATCATTCCTGCATCTGTCTTCATTCGAATAGAAAGTTCCCATTTCCATTGCATTCCGCGATCATGACATCGACTGTGATTATGACATACGAATGGTCGTGCGAAGAAGATATGTTGTTGCGATGCGTACATGATCACCATAATCACAGTCTAACTGCAAACAATAAAAAGAGATGAACATTGAGATTCAAAACTCACCCGTGTTTACCTCTAAAAAGGAATGTTCCTTTGTCCCGCGATAATTACTGAAATCATTGCAAACCGTCAAAAATCAGAAAAGAAAACAGGAAATTTGGTGATGCTATCACTAGAGATCACAGAGCTCATCTTATCTCAAAAAGATGAGTACTAAGTGATCTTCGTGACAGCCACTCTCAATGAAGATAGAGAGCAAAATGACACTGAATGACTTTAAAAAGCATAACATAGGCATGGAAGGTGGTACAAAAGATTAAACCCTTACCCAAATTGGCGCTGTGGTTAACGGCCTTCGATCGATCTCAGTTCACGCTGGTCTGAAAGCAAACCAATTTAAAGAATTCGCATAGGGAGAAGCAGTATTACACACAGGTACACACAACACACGCATGCACACATATAAACATTCAACACTTACACACCTACACATGCACATATGACAAACATATATAAACACAAACATGTACATGCACACATACACAAACATACACAAACACACACAAAAACACAAACACACAGATAAACACAAAACACAAATTACGAACATTTATGCATACATATAAACAAACATATAGAAATATACAACATACAAAATCAAAATATATGAAAATAAACATAGACACAAACATATACAAACGCACACACGAAAACATAAGCACACACATACATACATGAACATATCAACAAACATATGTCATATACAACGTAAAACAAAGAAAAAGAAGCGAAAACTTACTCAGGTTGGACTTGATAGCGTAGAAAATCTTAGCTCTGACGTGCGTCTATCACAATATCTAAAAACAACCAGCTTCACATGTAAATCAAGGAAAAACAACATCGAACAAGAGTCTTTGTAACAACGTACACAAGAACAACATTGAAGCAGACAGTAACTGAATAGTTTGCCGAATTGAGCTGAATCGGCATAAGAATAGTAGACAGCCAGAATAGATAGGTTAGATTGGAAGTACAGACATAACTGACGTAGAAGAATATTGGGAGGGCAACAAGAACGGTCAGAGAAGCCGATTTTGAGTGAAAAATACCGATGAGCGCCAGCCGGCAATGTTGGCGTGCGCTTTGCTGCGTTTGGTGTGAAAGGTCGTAAACTCTGCAGAATCTGTTCGAGTTCGCAAGCGTCCGAACATGGAGGCGGGGCCAAATTGAGGCGTTCGTTCCCCCACCCAATAGAAAGAGTAGGAATTAGCTGCGAAAGTAGCCTACGAGATGGAACGGTGTCGAAAACATTTGTGTGCAAAGTTTTGCGCCGAATGGTCTACACACTATACTTGGGTCCGAATCGAATAGAAATTCGATCATTCGAATAAAACATTAGAATATATTCGTATTCGAAATTCGATATTCGGAGTTCTTCCATTTTCGAATAATATTCGAAACTCGAATAATCAAAAAACAGGGTTTCGAATAAAATTCGAAAACTCGAATAATCAAAAAACGAGGTTTCGAATATTATCCGAAAACTCGAATAATTAAAAAATGGGGTCTCGAATAGATTTTATTCGAATGTTTTATTCGAATGTTTATTCGAATTCGTGTTCGAATGACTCCGTATTCAGATTAATCGACTTTGTTGCAAAGCCAACTGCTGAGTATCAAGCTCACTTCGTCCGCGTTTTTTTTTTCGCAAAACTCGGTAATACATTTTTTTCAACCGTTATACCTTTGAACTGTATGGAGAGTCGCATTCTTCCGACTGCTTGCGACACTAAAAAAATCATAGGTGGATTTAGATTGATGTAGAAAGTAGAGCAAGCCCTTTGCTTTTACATTGTTGATGCTGATAAGAAATAAAGTTAATTCTGGTGTACATCAGTCTCTTTCAGACCATCTGAAGAAGAATCTTTTGGGCACAGCATAAAAATTTATATCGACTGCTTTTTAGATCGTCCATATTGGGTAAAATATGACTTTTTACTGATGTATAGACTAGATGCCGACCGACCGACTTTATCGATTTTTGGGGAATTTTGAGCTGCGGGGCTGAGAGTTGGTACAAGGGGGTAAATGAGGGTGCTGATTACGGATATAAATTTACAGGGCTCCTAAATTGCAGAGTCGTTTGCACCAGCGGTCGCGCGACCGCGTCGGCCCGGGCATTTTGCCGGCGCCGGCGCCATCGATCGAGGTGGCGCTATTGATGCCCGGGCGCGACGCGGTCGCGCGACCGCTGGTGCAAACGACTCTGCAATTTAGGAGCCCTGTACTTTATGAATTTTATCGATTTTTGGAAAATCTCGAGCTACGAGCTTGGGAGTTGGTACAGGGGATAAATGAGGATGCTGATTGAAACCGAAATCTATTTTATCGATTTCAGCAATTTTTGGAAAATTTTGAGTTAGGAGTTGGTATAGAGGATACTAGGGGGCTGATTATGACTGGATCGGCTCTAGCCAGATATGTCGGCAAGTTTGAGATGTGATTGCTTTAGTTATTCGATAAATCATTCGAATATTTATTCGAAATTCGACTTCCAATGTTCGAATATATTCGATATTCATTCATTCGATATTTTTTATTTTCCGAATTTATTCGAAATTCATTCATTCGATATTTTTGATTTTCCGAATTTATTCGATATTCGTTTATTCGAAATTTTTCCTTTTCGAATTTATTCGATATTCATTCATTCGATAAAAAATTCTCGAATTACCCAAGTATACTAGACACAAAGATTTTTGTAGCTCACACACTAACAACAATTTATCAACATTCAGTTTTATATATTTTGTACTAGTTGACTTACCCGGCTCCGCCCGGCCCTGTCATTATTATATTCGTAATCAGCATGCTCGATTACCCCCCCCCCCCTGTGCCAACTCCCAGCCCCGTAGCTCAGATTTTGCAAAAAATCGATAAAATCGATATCGGTCGATGACGAAAAGTAGCCTATGACACCCGCCGGGGCCCGAAGTGTATGTGTGCCAAGTTTGGTCCGGATCGGTTCAGAAATGGAATTTTCTATTCTCTATTCGGAACATACGTACACACATACAGACAGACATACAGACAAACAGACATTCAGCTTTACATATAAGATAAAGAATGGGCGCGGAGCCTCACATAATCTTTCGCCTTTTGTCGCTGCTAGTCTCGTTGCTTTTTTATAAAAGAGGTTTTTTACAATGGAAGTCTGCCAAAAGGCATGTATCTGACGCTTTTGCACAGAATCATAGAAATGACAACGGTGCACGGAGTCCGCATTGCCCCCCCCCCCCTCTGCGCGCAGCACATTTGGTGCACTAAACCAGATTTGTTCTGCTCTTGTATGAACTCTCTTGGTATCATGTATATTATGCTGTTCTCTACAAAGGCAGGCATTGTTTGCCAAATTCTGCCATATGGACGAGTTACGCTGAGTACACAGGAAGCAAATATTAGGTTGATGCAAAAATGGTGGCCGTTTTGTGAATTCGCACTTTGACGTGCTATAACCCTCTCGAGTATCTACATTTCCGAATGCGATAACATTTGAAGCAGCAAACCTTTTGCAATACAGCGCACATTCATCAATACTTGCATCGCACACAGAAGAGAAATACGGATATGTAAACAAAAGTGTTTCTTTTGTGAAAACTTGTTTTTAACAAGCCATAACTTCTCTCAACGTTTCTAACTACAAATAACAAGTAGCCTATCTTGTAGCCGGAAACCAGTAGTATAAAAGACGATGGGAAGGGCGTAAACAAAAAAAGATTTCGAAGAAAAAACTCAAAGTCCAATATTATCAGCGTTTTCAAAATTTTTCAGGAGGTCTCGATGTCCCGAATTATAAGAATTCTGATTTTCTGCGTACTAAACAGCTTAATTTTCGTAAAATTATCAACAGGATGCCCTATCCTTACGCTTACAGAGATGAGCGAAGCTTTGGCGCTTCTCTTCTTTGAGAGAAAATTTTGGGTCATAGAATGATCGCCACGGTTACCCATATTGAGGTGCCGATATCTCACATCAGTCAAGACAGTCTCTAAGAAAGTAGTTAAAGGCAGTGGCTCGAGAAAATTGCAACTGCGCGCTCTTGGCTCTTCCTTGGCCTTCTGGATGCGTTTAGACCAGAGCTGTGCTTGAAAAGTCAAAAAAGTGCTTTTCATGGTGATCTCCGGCTCTAGAGATTGTTGAGGAGGCTGGGGCGGAGATTCACGCAGCCGAGCCGCGATTGGCTGCCTGGGCTAATCAGCCAGTTGCCCCCAAATTGAGTGGTGTTACAGTCTCCTGCAGCCAGTCACTGTTTTTGGCGGCAATCTCTGCTCTCGCCTCCTCAGCATCTCCAAGGCCTGAAAACGCCATAAGAAGCATTTTTTTGACTTTTCAAGCACAGCTCTGGTCTAAACGCAT